TAGATTCCTTATTACACACAGTGTACACAGGGTTATAGCGGCAGGATATTGATAGACTCCTTATTACCTTTAAAAATAGATATAAAAGAGTATCCAGGAGCTTATAACATGTATCTAATAAAACATATATCTAATAAACATAAGATATATCACTAATTGTATTGGCACATATAATTTTAATATAATCTAAAATGATGAAAATTCAGAGAAATAAATTGCTGAATAGTTGCACTGTGTAAAGGTCCGAATGATAAATGCACAAGGAATCAGTCCAAATAAAAAAAACTTAAAATTATTATTTGGACTGATTCCTTGTGCATTTATCATTCGGACTTTTACACAGAGCAACTATTCAGCAATTTATTTCTCTGAATTTTCCCAGCATTTTAGATTATATTAAAATTATATGTGCTAATACAATTAGTAATATATCTTATGTTTATTAGATATATGTTTTATTAGATACATGTTATAAGCTCCTGGATACTCTTTTATATCTATTTTTATGTATATGTATGGGATTTGATGAAACCCTGTTTTTCCAGTTTTAGAGCTTTTTTCTATTCTCTGTCTTATTCCCTCTTACACATTTTCTAATAGACATATTCTCTGACTATTAGGACTTAATTTTATTATCCTTATTACCTTTGCAGCTGGCAATATAATTAATCTGCAGTGTTAATATGGAGCCAAGAAGTGACATGGTTAACAGAATCAACAATTATTACAGATTAAAATAGATTGAAATCAGAATCAGATCAGTCCTCAGAGTCACAGTCCCAGTCCTGCAGTTTGAAGTTTCACAATGTTTCAACTAGTTACAGCATGCGTGTCTCAGGTCCCAGCTGTAAAGTGTCTGAGCAAATTAAACAAGATGGTGGGTATGTGCAGGGGGTGTTATTCAAACTATTAGTGATTAGTGATGTCCTGAACGGTTCGCTGGCGAATAGTTCCTGGCGAACATAGCGTGTTCGCGTTCGCCACGGATGGCGAACATATGCGATGTTCGGTCCGCCCCCTATTAATTTACTAATACTAAGTAAAAATTACTTAGTATTAGTAAATTGTGCCCCTACTCGCAATACCGCGAGTAGGGGCATGTCTATTAAACAGTGAGCAGCCTGTCTATTAAACAGTGAGCAGTTCTTTTGAATTTTCCCACGCTGTGTAAAATGACAAAGAGCACTTTGATTGGCTTAAACCCACCAATCAGAGTGTTCTTAGCCTAACTGCAGGGCGGGGCAAGGCTTTATAAGCCTTCCCCCGCCCTGCGGAGCTCAGTCTGTGCAGAGCCCTCCATGGGTGAAGATGGATTATTTTTTTGCGCTCAGGTTTTTTCTTTTTCGTCTGTTTTTTTTTTTTTCGCTCGGGATTTATTTTTTTTTTTAGTTTGACGGTGATGATGGTATGATGGTTTTTTATTTGGCCTTTTTTGGGGCTGAAAAATGAAGATTTGAGAAAAAAGAAGACGTCGAATGGTAAGTTTAATTTTATTTTACAGGTTAGTTATTTTATTCCCCCCTCACTATTTTTTAGGGTAAGGGGGGTAGGTAGGGACTTTTTATTGGGGGGGGTGACTAGGGGCTTGGGGACCCCTAGTCACCTTGGGGGGGAGAATTTACGTAGGTCCCCCCCTCATTATCTTTATGGCCCCCACCCGCCGCGCAGGGGTGGGGGCCGGGGGGGTACAATAGGTCCCCCCCTATTGTTCATGTTAGGGCCCCCACCCACCGCTCAGGGGTGGGGGCTGGGGGGGACAATAGGTCCCCCCTTATTGTTATTTTTAGGACCCCCACCCACCGCTCAGGGGTGGGGGCCGGGGGGGGACAATAGGTCCCCCCCTTGTTGTTATTAGAGCCCCCACCCACCACTCAGGGGTGGGGGCCGGGGGGGACAGTAGGTCCCCCCCTTATTGTTATTTTTAGAGCCCCCACCCGCCGCACAGGGGTGGGGGCCGGAGAGGGGGAGAACTGTAGGCCCCCCCCATTATCTTTATGGCCCCCACCCGCCAGAAAGAGTCCCTGTGGGTTTTAAAATTCGCCTGCCTATTGAAGTCTATGGCGGTTCGCCGGGTTCGCCAGGTTCGCGAACATTTGCGGAAGTTCGCGTTCGCGGTTCGCGAACCGAAAATTTCATGTTCGCAACATCACTATTAGTGATAGGCAGCACATTGCTCTGTGTCAGAAATGTCACTAAATGGCTGAATGGCAAGATGTATGTAGGAGCTTGTGTTAATTGTCACTGCATGTGAATGATGGATGTATTTGTGTAGAGTGTAGTGTGTGAATTTAGTGGTGTGTTTTTATAGTGTGCCATTGTGTGCATGCAGGAGCATATTTGCGTGAAGTTTTAGTGGGCATGCAGGAGTATGTGTGTGTGTTTGTGTAATGTGTTTCCAATTCCCATCTGCCCCTCTTTCTCCATCCCCCTTATCCATTTCGTTCTAACTTATATGTGTTCCTCTCCCCTTTTATCCAATTATGCCCCTCCACCAATACTTCCCACATTTTTCCAATTTTGCTTACAACTGGGACATCTTTTATATATATGAATATAGATATGCAAACTACCAAGGAATTCAAATTGGCCATCTAAAACAGCCTAATTTATATAGCATTGTCTTTCCTTTTAATTGTCGACGTTCTCATTAAATTTCATACTAGTTATTCATTTTTGTACCTTATTACTTGAACTTTTATAAGTTTTTTAAAACTTGCTAAAACTTTTTCCTAAAATTAAAACTTTTTCTAAAGAGTTAAGAAAAAAAGTAGAATCCCTGTCCAGCAGTTTACTTCTTTGCCACAATGGACACTTATTAATTCAGGGAAATGGCTCAATATCATTTGGAAAATACTTGTTTTCTTAAACTATTTGATGCACTTTTTGGGGCCAATCAAGCTGATTCAGAATCTAGACTCATCCAGGTCAATTCGGAGATATAAATCCAGTGAACTACTAGCATGATTTATTCTCTGAATTGTCTTTCAATCTACCAAATAGTAAATAATTCTTATTATGTTTTATAAAATGTATCTTAAGTAAACACAAGATTTATTCGGTTTATTGTGTATTCCTGCTTCGTAATGTATCAGATAAGTGTATCCGATGGCAGCGATTCCCTTTATAAAGACATGCTAAAAAAGCATTTAAATAGTGAAAAGGCAATATCTATTCCACTGTGACTATGGCATAGTTGTCTGATACAGACATAGTGTTTCCAGCATATAAGATACAAAAAATATATGTTTCATTTTCATGTATAGCATTAAATTGAGAAAAAAAAAAACAAGTTACAGAGAAAAAAAAGAAGCAGTTCTGTGGGCGTTTTAAAAAAAGTAATTAAAGTAAGCTAGTCTTTCAATGAGTGATAGCAACCATTATATCAGTTAGAACTTAAAGGAATACTACAGCCTCAGAAAAACAAACCTGTCTTCCTAACACTACATTGTCCCCAAATCTATATAATGTTCCCCCCATTTGCAATAAAAAAAAAACACACAAAAAAAGTTTGACTTGCCTTTTTCCAGTGCCGAGACTCCCTCAGTGCTGCTCACCTACCGCGACATCATGGAGGACCAACATTAATCCAATCAATGCTCATCATAGACAAGCATTGGGGACCTAATGTGCATCCACTAGAGGTGGTAATAACCCTGCAATGTAAATATTCTAAAAAACTGCAATGTTTTACATTTTAAGGTTAAAGGGACAACACATGGCACCCAGACCACACCACCATCGAGACTGCAGTCGTTTTAGAATAACTTCCTCTTGCTAAGCTTCATGGGTAATGTAGTCCACTACAGATATTAGTATAAGTCATAAAAGACTAATCGCAATTCAAATAACACCTTAGCAACAGAGGTAACAGATTGTGCTATGTTCAAGTAGTCCGCTGCCAAATGTCTTTTCTTGGAGTGCTACAATCTGGCATTTTAGAAACCTTTTATGTTAAACTGCTTCATAATTGCTGCTTTAAATCATAACAATGTAACAAGACATTAAAAGAAATAACTTATCTCTCTCATCAGTCTCTGAACTGTTCTGGAATTTCTTGCCAGATAAAATATTAATGGTTATTTTAACACCTGCCGCACTTGATCATGATGACCTACCATGGATTTAGACCACTTTAAATCTCACAATTGCCAAAAGATCTCAACTTGTGCCCTACATTTATTTGCAGGAGATGAACATTATGACAGATATACTTTACTAACCTTAATTCCTCACTCTGTAGGAAAAATGTTTGAAAATGACCTTTTACTTATTAAACATTGATGATCCTGTAGGCTAGAGGATAGTGTTTAAGATTTAGTTAAAATTATACGTTTCATTTTTCAAGCACTTGTCAGATATTTTATTTCCAACTTTTTTTATTGTTGAGAAATATAATTATGCATTATTTATAATGAATTGCAATCCATTTTATATACAACGGGACTGTATTTAAAAAACAAAACAAAAAAAAGTTTGTTTTAAGGGCTATTTTCGGGCAAATTATTATCCCATTATGAACATTATTCTAGGTTATTTGTGATATGTTCTATTTTATCTAATAGAAACATAGAAACATAGAATGTGACGGCAGATAAGAACCATTCGGCCCATCTAGTCTGCCCAATTTTCTAAATACTTTCATTAGTCCCTGGCCTTATCTTATAGTTAGGATAGCCTTATGCCTATCCCACGCATGCTTAAACTCCTTTACTGTAGTCCAATTTTCTAATGTTGTCGCTACTCTTAGCGAGTAGTGGTTGATTATCGACTGCAACATTTTTACCAGCGGACGTCACTTAAAACCAGTCACTAAGAAGCAGTTAAAAGTGTCCATTATATTCCATGGGAGCCGTTAACCACTACTTAGCAAATAGTGAGGCATATCAAACTGCAATAAAATGATAGAGAATGGCAGATAACGGATAGAAAGCAGGGGTACCCAGCCCGCGTGATGACGTGAAAACATGGGGTGGGCGTGTCAGGGAAGGAGGAGGTCAGCCATGAGAACGCCAGCAACTGGTGTTGGAGCATTGCTAATAGAGAAACGAACTGGAATGCAGCGTGTGTTTTTATCCTGCACAAATGAACGAGACAGGAGGAGCAGAGGGAGGTGAAAGTAATTTTTAGGTTTCTTTCACAGGTTTCAAAAACGAGCGATACAATAGTACCGAGAAGAGGAGTGGAAAGCCTGGAAGCCGCTGCCATGATAGTGAGTGGAAAGAGAGGGAAAGTGGATCCTCACAACCATTAAAGCAAAGTAAGTGCTGGGCGTAAGACTAAGAGCTTAGAACGAAGCCTCCATTAACAGATAACAGAGAGAAAAGGAGGAGCATGTGGAAAGGTTAAACATACAGTGAGTAGTATCATATGGTGACTGGGGAATAGAAAATAACATACTGTAAATAAGGTGTAAATATATGAATATAGCAATTACGTAAACAAGGATAATTAAAATAAAAATTAAAAAAAATACTCTTTTTTTTGTTCGCTTTTTGTTTGCAATGTAACTATATTTTACCTATTAAGGAAATCAACTACCTATCAAGAATTAAAAAAAAAAGACAAGGAAAAAACATGTATGTAAATTCTGGATGAAAAGCAATTTAGTGTGAATTTTTATTAAATGTTAGTTGCGAGTAAACATTTATGAGTAAAAATCGTTCATATTGGTCAAAATACAATTGAAGGAAAGATAAAGGAAAAAAGTCCCTTATAAAGATAACTTGGTAACTGCTCAAGAAGACAAATCTCCTAATTAATAGCAGAAAAAATAAATAAAATAAAATAGAGAATTAGTCGTTTTATATATATATATATATAAAGTGTGATTTAACAAGGAAAAAAAAGGCAACAAAAAGACAGTTGTCCAAACATGCTAAGAAAATCAATCCTAATAAAGAAGAAAAAGAAAAATCACAAAAAAAACCTTGACGACCTATTACGCATCACCAACGGTAGAAGAAAAAAATAGGGTCAAGAAGAAGAATAAATTCATCAATAAAACAAACAAATGAAGTACAAGTTAATAGCTCTGATGGAGAAAGTTCAAATGTGCCAGAGGACCCTACAGAGTGAGAAGAAATAACAATTGTCGGGGGAGGCACCTTTCCGTGATTTATTCTACAAATGCAATTTTTTCTAAAAACATGTTGTGAGTGCAATCTATATCTGCGCTATTTATTTTTTATATACAGTATCACACTATATATGTTATTTTATTTGTAGATCTACAGCCACACTCTCCAATATACTTGCTGTTCTAAGTTATACTTAGCACGTATGGGATAAATTTTCGTGAGCAGACCTCCTCTGGAAAAATATTAAAAAAAGTTATATCTAAATTATTAAGTGGAGATCAAACAGGATTCATTCCAGGAAGATCAGCAAAATACAATCTTAGGAAAAATATCAACTTAATGTTAATGGCTAAAAACTCAGGAGAATCCACGCTGACCCTGTCATTGGATCCAAAGAAGACCTTTGACAGGGTCTCTGGATTTATTTGAAAGAGACCTTGAGAAGATTTGGATTTAAAGATTTTTTTCTAAGTGCAGTTTGGCTACTCTATAGAGACCCAACAGCATGTATAATGGGATCTGGGATTAGATCATCAGGATTTAGAATTTTGAACAGCACCTGCCAAGGATGTCCACTAGGCCCTATGTTATTTACTTTATCATTAGAACCATTTGCTCAGAAAATTAGACAGAATGGAGATATTAAGGGCTGTCAAATTGGGAGCAGGAACTATAAAATATCAATGTTTGCTGATGACGTTTTACTTACACTGAAGGACCCAGGGAGATCAATGGAGGCATTGCTGAATGAGATTAAAAAAAACTCGGAATTATCCTATTATAGCCTTAATCTAAACAAATCTCAGGCATTAGCTTGGAATTTAAGTCCTGAATAAAAAACTAATTGAAAAGAGAAATATAAACTGCAATGAATAGATAATACACATAACTATCTATGGATAAAAATATCATATTCCAAAAAATTAAATGTGGATTCAAATTATATCATATTATTAAAGGAACTTAAAAATAAACTCAATGGTGTTCTACCAAAATTTACTTTTTTTATTTAGATCTATTCCTTTGAAAGTAGAAAAAAACGTAATATGGGATTTTCAGAAATTGTTTAACAACTTTATATGGCATCATAAGAAAGCAAGGATAGCATTAAACATGACATCAAGAGGAGAAAGAAATGGAGGTTTAGGAGTGCCTGATGTAAATAAAATTTATGATGCAATTTTATTCTCTCATATTTCAAAATGGTTCAGAACAGATAGTTGCTATCAATGGCTAGGCATGTAGAATAAAGCATTTGTCACAAAGGATGTCAGAAACATTATCTGGGATAAAAAAATTTGAATTCAATAAGATGAATCCAAGAGTCAGGGACTTGAGCACAGCATGGATAAATCTACATTATAAGTATTTAAGTACATGGGATTTGAATATGCTTATTCCATTGATAATTTTAGAAAATCTGATGGGTAATATCAAACTAAAACTTTGAAAGGAAAAAGGAATAGTCCATATTTATCAACTGATGGAAAACTTCAAGGTAAAATCGTTTGATATAATTCAAAATACCTTGACATTCCATTTAATGAATTTTATAATTATACAAGGATAAATTATTATATAGATATAGAATTATCCAAAAAAAATCATTATAGAGAGGATAATAAAAATAAAAAATAAAAAACGAATAGATTGATTATGGATATTGTGGATGAAAAGGTCAATTTTAGATCATTTCCAACCATCAAAAAATTGATCAACGATTTGGATTTAAAGATGGAAGAAGAAATTTGGATTGGATCAATCAATTTTACGAAAACAACTATTCATAATATAAATCTGTTAGAAACCTATTTTAAGATGACTTTTAGGTGGTACTTAACTCTAGAAAGATTAAGTAAAATGAAAATGGGATGTGCTGGAGATGTATGGAAGAAAAGGGGTCATTAGTTCACATATGGTGGAAATGTAGTAAGATTCAACCCAATAGTCTAAAGTTTTTAATATAATTTCTACTCTACTAAATAAAAAAAATGGGGATTTAGATCCAGCATGTACCCTATTCCATATAGGTATATATGCCCTTCCGATAGAAACAAGATACAAATGCTTTAAGTAGCATTTAACCTGTTAAAGGCGAGAAAATGGAAACAAAAGGAAGAAGTGAATGTTCAAGATTTATATGACCAGCTAGAACATAATTACCTTATGGAAAAAGGACATTACCAAAATAACTGTTTAAATCTAGTAACATTTTAAAATAGATGGTCGGAATGGGACAAAAAAAAAAACCCCAAAACAAATCCTTGGTACATTATGCATATAAAAAAGAAAGTACAAATATATTAATGTTTAATTTATGAGGTATGAATGTATTTACGTTAGTGTTGTCATTGTCCTTCACATAATAATGAATGGAGAAGAGGAATTCTTCTGTAGTGAAATAGTTAAAAATATTAATTAAAAGAGGAATCTCTTCATAGCAGGATATACAATTATATTCTGAAAGTCAAATTGTATTTGCTTAATAAAAAAAACAAAAAAAAATAAAAACAAATTATGATTTTGGTACTGGATTTAACTTTGGATAGAAAAGTATTTTCTAAGCATTGATTACCAATATCTGATGAAGTTTAAAAAAAAAAAAAAAAGGCAGGGGTGCCCAAAATCCCTCAATTTTGTTAGAACGACAGCTTCCATGATGCTTTGTTATATCTATGGGAGATGTAGTTCTACCACATCTGGTGATCTTTCTTTTGGGCACCCCTGATATAAAGCATAAAATGATTCAATTTAAAAGTAAAGCACATGTGTCCGGTAAATGAACAATTCATATTTCTGAAAGCTCAAAATTGAATAGATATGTAACCGTACAACAAAATCACAGTTCAATACATTGTATACACTGTTGCTAACACCCGCTATGGACAATCAGTAGAGTAGGATAAATCATAAGATAACCCTGTGCAGCTGACTTGGGCCCGGAGATGAGACAGTGGCCTAGGAACCATGACTTTGCTTGGCCCCATTTACCATCCCTATGTGAAGAATGAACTCCCCACGGTCCTTTGGGATCTTAATTCTTCTCTGTCAGTCGCAGGGTGAAATACACACATTTTGTGTGAACCTCTATTATTGTCAAGGTGTCAGGGTGTGGCGTCTATGGTGACAACTTACACAGTGTGTGTTTCTGTGGTTTATCAGCGAGTGGTGAATCTGTGGGTGGATGGGTAGGTGGTATCTTTGTGAGCAGATTTTACGGACAGCCTGTAAAAATAACAACAAGATTGAAAATGGCTCGGTAAATAGTAGCTGCTACTAACTACCAGCCATCTTGCTGCATCTAGACTGATAGGCATAGATGGTATCCCCCAACTTCTCATATCAGTCATAGTTTTAATTTTACAATAAAGTGTCACGTAAACAATACTGTAAAAATCGCGATGGCATGGGGTGCAATTGCAACAACCCCCTAAATCCCAGTGATAAAACAAAATTCTGCACTCTTTTCAATCCAAGTTTTATTTTTGGTCGGTTGTTTGTAGGAGATAGAGCTCTGGGCATCCAGTGGATATATCTCTTTCTTAATCCCTCTCCTGTGTTGTGTCTTTGCATGACAGCTCAGAAATACTCAGTGATATCAATAATTTACTCTTTGACCATACATGACGGCTCCACAGAGAACTTTAATACTTGGATATTGGAAGAGATCGGGGGTGTTTTGCAGAAAAGCTGGTTGTGAAGAATGTACATGTTAATAATAGGAATACTTGATTTAAAAAAAATAAGATCCAGGCTGGATAGAAGAAAATTGTAGGAAAACCCATAATCTTTCACCTTGATTTGGACCACTTGGAGTGTAACCATTCACATGGATATTCACTGAATGAGAAATGTTGGGACAGAGTGAATACAAAGTGATTCTAAATTTTATGCTATAATATTCAAATAGAATTGGTGATTTTTGTCCAATTCAACAATTATGTCTGATAATTAAAAATCCATTTTTAATTCACTTTAGAAGCTTTCTCCAATCCTGTTTTGTTTATGATAGAATAATGCCCTATTGGCATTATTCTATTGGTCACCCCCTACACAAACGGTCAAAGAGCATTCTAAAACAAGGTTACTAACTCATCTTAATTCAGTTTTGGGATAAGCTTCCTGGCACTGCTTAGTGCACCTCCGTTTGACGTCTTGGGTGCTCATAGAAAAGCCTTGGATTGGATCACTTTACCGCAATTCACCCCGATAATCTTTGGAAATTATAAAAAGTTAGAACACATGTAAAAAATGGTAGTTAGATCCCTCCTTTATTTAAAAGGATAGGGTGTTTGTGTTTTCGAGAGAACAGAGCTCGCAGTGAGAGAGGGTCAGACAGAGGGCCATGAATGTGTTTTTATGCTTCGAGATTGTATTGCTGCTGATTAAGTTAGTCGACATTAGGAATTTATGATATTAAATCACAGCTGTGAATTACACACATTACTGCTGTCATCTCAAACAGGTCATCAATCAAATTAAAGCGTTATTATTTGCTAAGTGCGCTGTGTTTCAAAGTTTAGCTGACATTAACAGTGTTTAAAATTCCCATTGTGAAGTATACATGTTGCTGCTGTTAACCTGTACAACTTGTCGTACACATTAAAGTGTCATTATCCTTATAATACATTGTCTCTAACAGGTTAGTACGTTGTCATCTTTAAACTTCACACATATCTATCTATAGAGATATAGCATGATTATTTATTTTATTTTTTTCATTGCAACCATACTTGTAATCTGTTAAACAAAAAAAGTGTTGTTTTATGGTGGACCGAAGGAGATCTTGGGATGTTTAAAGAACTGGGCTGATTTTATTCTAGGTTACCATTTTTATAACCTTCATGGATTGCACCCAAATCGGAATAGGGTTTGCTGTCCTTGAGGATAGGATGGATGGACAGCTGGAGGCAACGTCAAACTAGGGGAAAGTAAGAAGTAGAGAAGCTAAGGCCCAGACAAAGGTGAAGATGGGTTAGTGATGAACTCTAGAGGCTGGGATCGTAACGTGTTAATGCTGATGAGGATGATAAGCTGTTAACACTTATTTATGGGTATGGCTTTAATCACTGGAGGTTTTAATTATTCAGACATGCACTGTGCTAGAGAGACTAGTAATCTTTAAAATTGCATCTTCTTGTCTCAGGTCATAGATGCACCACTAGAAATAAAATCTTCTCTGGATCTGGCAATAACTTCTAACGTTAAACATTGTCAAATATTCCAGATTCAGGAACATTGTTACTTAAAGCGATTCAATGTTCCTTTAATTTGTGTTAAAGGACCACTCCACACTGCTAAATCTCTTTAGCTTTCTGAAGTGCTTTATGGGTTAGGGTATTCTATTTAAAGCCCAGTTTATAAAAGCGTTGATTTCAATGAAAAATCTGCAATTTTATAAATAAATTATGGAACACTCTCGTCTGTCAGTCAAATGAGCCACCAGTTCAGAGGCTTCTCAATGAAAACATTTCCCTGTGAATAGAGTAAGGGAACTCTTTTTAGGATGTACCTCCAATGAATATATCCATGTAGAAATCATACATGTATTCACTGGGGTTATATCTGCTAAATAGTCATTTCATCTTTTTTGCCCTTTTGGGCAGTGGAGTGTTCCTTTAATAATTTTTTGTGTGTTGATCATTTTTCTTTCGAACATATACACTGCTCAAAAAAGTAATGGGAACACTTAAACAACACAATGTAACTCGAAGTTAATCAAACTTCTGTGAAATCAAACTGTCCACTTAGGAAGCAACACTGAGTGACAATCAATTTCACATGCTGTTGTGCAAATGGAATAGACAACAGGTGGAAATTATAGGCAATTAGCAAGACACCCCCAATAAAGGAGTGGTTCTGCAGGTGGTGACCACTGACCACTTCTCAGTTCCTATGCTTCCTGGCTGATGTTTTGGTCACTTTTGAATGCTGGTGGTGCTTTCACTCTAGTGGTAGCATGAAACGGAGTCTACAACCCACACAAGTGGCTCAGGTAGTGCAGCTCATCCAGGATGGCACATCAATGCGAGCTGTGGCAAGAAGGTTTGCTGTGTCTGTCAGCATAGTGTCCAGAGCATGGACGCGCTACCAGGAGACAGTCCAGTACATCAGGAGACGTGAAGGAGGCCGTAGGAGGGCAATAACCCTGCAGCAAGACCGCTACCTCCGCCTTTGTGCAAGGAGGAACAGGAGGAGCACTGCCAGAGCCCTGCAAAATGACCTCCAGCAGGCCACAAATGTGCATGTGTCTGCTCAAACAGTCAGAAACAGGTATGAGGGCCTGACGTCCACAGGTGGGGGTTATGCTTACAGCCCAACACCGTGCAGGATGTTTGGCATTTGCCAGAGAACACCAAGATTGGCAAATTCGCCACTGGCGCCCTGTGCTCTTCACAGATGAAAGCAGGTTCACACTGAGCACATGTGACAGACGTGACAGGGTCTGGAGACGCTGTGGAGAACGTTCTGCTGCCTGCAACATCCTCCAGCATGACCGGTTTGGCAGGGGGTCAGTAATGGTGTGGGGTAACTGCATTTCTTTGGGGGGCCGCACAGCCCTCCATGTGCTTGCCAGATGTAGCCTGACTGCCATTAGGTACCGAGATGAGATCCTCAGACCCCTTGTGAGACCATATGCTGGTGCGGTTGGCCCTGGGTTCCTCCTAATGCAAGACAATGCTAGACCTCATGTGGCTGGAGTGTGTCAGCAGTTCCTGCAAGACGAAGGCATTGATGCTATGGACTGGCCTGCCGGTTCCCCAGACCTGAATCCAATTGAGCACTGGAATTGATACAACCGAGTTCAATTCACAGCCATTCTCCTCTCTCGATGCTATCTCTGTGCCGATATAAAAAAAGATGCAATTTAATTTTTTAGACCTCCCAAATGTATTAAATATAGGTTGTAAGTAAACATAGTGTTAACATCCTGGAAAGTGAGTGTTCCCCTTTAAACTCTCAACATTTCTGTTTTAGTAAGAAAATGTAGGCTGAATTTTTTATCTGCTTTTTTCACTTTCTTAACCTTAAATTAGCACTTATAATGCTACCTTTTCTGGCGCTGGTTCTATATCTAGCAGTTGTTATGATTTGCTAATATCTTTGCGGAGAATGTTGAATGCGATGTTAGAAATATTTTTTTATTGTGTTTTTTCTGTGCGCTAGAAAGATATTATCTAGACTGTGTATCTATGCAGCGACCCTGCACATCAGGTTATGTCTGTCCTTCTCGAATTCTTTGTGTGTATTTCATTCTGTCTGGCTTTGAATGAGTCTGTCAATAAACTGCTAGATAAGACGTCACCCCTGCAGCAAAGATTAAATATGTGAAAGTTAATATTTCCATAGTTACACCACCCCTTCAATATTCTACAGATTGTGTGATTGTGCTTAAAGCATTATCTTAATGCACTTTTCAGTGCTGTGACAGAGGTAATGTGCTCTGTTATACTTAAATGTTACCACCTCCACATGAGGAATGAAGCTAAAAGAATTTTAGTTCTGAAATACTGTTTTCTTATATTTTTTATAAATGAATGAACTCGCAGGCATCTAGAATTTGTGTTCCGACTGCGGGCAGTGTACTTTCTCTGGGTACTTTCCTTGTACAGGTGTCGATATTACCAAACACAAAGGGATCCACTCAGGGCCAGTGCTAGGATTTTTGGCTACACAGGCGAAGATGCATTTTGTCGCCTTCTCACCTCCCCCTTAAAAAAAGTGTCTTGACCTGTGTGTCTCATACAAACCCCCTTGTGTATCTCTTACTTTCCTGAGCCCCTATGTGTGTCTCATTCTTTCTCCCAGCCTTTTTGTGTGTTGCTTTCTTTCCCCCCAGCCCAATTATGTGGCTCTCTCTCCTCAGCCAGTTTTGTGTCTCTCCCCCCCCCAGGGCTCATTGTGTGTCTTTTTCCTCCCATGCCACATAGACATAGATATATAGCAACACACAACCATACAGAATTATTCAGGCACACAGTCACAGAGATATGCAGGCACACAATCAAACAAACAGTCATACATCCTACACATACAGATTCAATGTCAAACAAACACAGACAGAGACACACATACCGTGTTTCTCCGAAAATAAGACCGGGTCTTATATTAATTTTAGTCACAAAAAACACACTAGGGCTTATTTTCAGGGTAGGGCTTATTTATTTACGGTACCGGTATGTACAGCTCTTTCTCTTTACACTCATCTTGTCTGGGGATCAAAATACCGTACTGTCTAATTAATCCACCCCCCTTTAATTAATCCACCCCCCTTTAATTAATCAACCCCCCTTCTAATTAATCCACCCCCTCTAATTAATCCACCACCCCTTTAATTAATACACCCCTCTAATTAATCCTCCCCCCCTCTAATTAATCCACCCCCCTCTAATTAATCCACCCCCTTTAATTAATCCACCTTTCATAAATCCACCCCTCTAATCACCCCCCTTTAATTAATCCACCCCTCTTTAAATCCACCCCTTTAATAAATCCACCCCCTTTAATTAATCCACCCCCCTTTAATTAATCCACCCCCCTTTAATTAATCCACCCCCCCCCTCTAATTAATCCACCCCCCTCTAATTAATGCACCCCCCCTTTAATTAATCCACCCCTTTAAATTCTTTAATTAATTCACCCCCCCCTTTAATTAATTCAGTCCCAGGCATAAAATATCTACTCACATTTCAAAGATTCCTTGCCCGCCGAGTCCGACCACTGGGTGCCTCACCGCCCGGAAATGGATCCTTCCGCTGAAGATCCGTGAAGGCAGACTAGTCTAGTCTGCCCATCTAGTCTGCCCAATTTTCTAAATACTTTCATTAGTCCCTGGCCTTATCTTATAGTTAGGATAGCCTTATGCCTATCCCACGCATGCTTAAACTCCTTTACTGTGTTAACCTCTACCACTTCAGCTGGAAGGCTATTCCATGCATCCACTACCCTCTCAGTAAAGTAATACTTCCTGATATTATTTTAAACCTTTGTCCCTCTAATTTAAGACTATGTCCTCTTGTTGTGGTAGTTTTTCTTCTTTTAAATATAGTCTCCTCCTTTACTGTGTTGATTCCCTTTATGTATTTAAATGTTTCTATCATATCCCCCCTGTCTCGTCTTTCCTCCAAGCTATACATGTTAAGATCCTTTAACCTTTCCTGGTAAGTTTTATCCTGCAATCCATGAACCAGTTTAGTAGTCCTTTATACTTGTTGATTTTTATGAGACACTTTCTCCTGCTCTCCTTTTTTTCACTTTACTCTATCGTATTTTAACTTTTGGATCTTGTTTAAATAAAGTTTAATATTATTTTTTGTTGTTTTGCCATTACCTTTGAATGACTCTACTTAGCAGGTCATTTCAATAAGGAGGAATTCTACCTTTGTTAGGCAGATTCCTTCACATTATTTGTATTTTTTTTTTTAAATATTCCTTTTAGTCAATGTACAGCCCGGTGCAGTCACTGCATTGCTACATTGCTCACTATTTAGCAAGATACCAAACCAATGTGAAGTCTATCAACAGCAATTATTTGAGTTTAATTCAGTTACAATTATTTGAGTTTAATACAATGAGCATTACGTTTGTGGAGATGGATGGGAATGTCACTAATGGCTGTATTTTGACAACTCATTTTAGAAAGTAAAATGTATTCCAGGAGTTGTCAATCAAAGCATACTGTAAGTGTACTTCCTTATTGACAGTTTCTCAGTAGTCTAAATTTTTGCCAAACTAAATGGACATCTTAATGTGGTGTTTATAGTGCCGAAATGCTGTGCCTTTTGTCTGGCAATGTATAACAATACCATTTGCGTACATTTTGCCTAAAATATGCCTCTAGTGACAGGCCTGGAACTAGTTGGTAATGCAGCACATTACAGCATTGGTGCTTAGTAACAATTATACTGTAACATATTTGTAATACCTTTTACAAAATGGTCTATTTGTGCTACTTTGTGCCTATGCAAGCTATTTTTATTAACACAGATATTTCCATGTTACCGTAAGTGAGAGTTTTTGCAATGTCACTTTAATCACTGTGCACTTTAAAACGTATATTCTTTTAAATAATTATAATGCACTTTAAAGTGGGAATTAGAAATACACTTTAATTTTACAATCTCTTCGAGAGACTGGTTGAATATATTGGATAGTAACCACGATTGGATCGTGGCAAATTGACCAAGTTAATCTTCTTTCTCTGTGATGTAACATGCGTGAGGTCTACAGCAATATAACTGCGACACATTATCTACAGGACGTATGGATTCATGTAAACTTACAATTTCTTTTATCTTTCTATATTGTACAATAAGTCAGTACATTATGGATATTGGACCAACTTTTCCCAAAGCTTTTTACATTTATAAATGCAACTGGTGCAGTTTGCTATTTCTATAATTTTTAGAAGAAAATTTGTAAATTATGCGTAGGACCAATACTAATTTTATTCTTTTTCTCACCATGACAGCCTTTAAAGTTGCCGTTTCAGTGTAAAAGCAAAATGTTTTCATGTAACTGTAGAAGAGGGCAAGGTGGGGGGCTTACCCCCCTGGAAGTTTGCCCACAGTGGAAACGCAACCTTAAAAGAATTATTTAAATTGCTATCTATGTAAACACAGCATCTCCCTTAGCTTCGACTTTCTGTTACAAAAACAAGACATGTAAAGAACTCATTTTCCACTTGTTTGTGATCAAATATTTATTTTTCTACAAGATGTTTGCGATGTCTTCTTATGATTATACAATATTATTTTCCCCTGCTTTTTATTTGTTGATTTGTAACTCACTGATTGCATTTTCTATGCTAAGTGGCATTAATTATGCATTTAGTACTATATAAAATAATATTAAAACGGTTCTATTCTTTCTATTGCTTTTTGCTCTTTGCAAGTTCTCATGAATAATTCTTATACATAGTCGAGACAACTCCTGGTTCTTCTGAAGGAATGCAGAACAAACACAAATGCTCCAGGGCATGAGGTGGGAATGATAGTAACCGAATCTCAGTACCAAGAGATCAAATACTGATACCCTGTTAGATGAGGTGCATCCTGAAACCACTCAGAATTTTCAGATATTTGAGCTATGCAAGTCATAGCTATTGGAAATTAATTCTGTGTTGCATAAACATTTCCTTCGTAAAATTTCCCCTCTTGCACAGCTAGTAATACAATCACTGGAGTTCACTTTAGTTTGCCTAAAGTGCCATGCGCTGTCTAACAGTTTAATATCAACACATTTATGAATAGTTTGCTATAGATCAAGGCTTTTCTCAGAGGACCTCTTCCTCATCTTTTCTTTTCATAATGCAAAATTAGCACTTGTGCCTTATCGTTTTTTTCCCAACCTTTTTAGATTTACTGGTTGAAAGTGTGGGGTCCGAATTAGCCCAGTGCTTTCCATTCAGTGTAAACCAGGCTGGACAAACTGGCATTTATAATGGGGAAATGATGGTGATGAATATTGTCATGAGGTACCTTGGACCTGGTGGAAAGTCCTGGTTTAAAGGTAACCAATTTTAAGTAGAATAAACTGGGTTTAACTCAGTGGCTACCAATGCACAGTGTCATGCTTGTGCATCCAAAATGTGTATGCCAACAACCCACCATTTTCACCTTCATTTTCTGTGATTGATCTTGCTTAAGAAAACTTCTCCATGCGTGGTCCTTCTGGCTTCACTACCAGTAGATCAGCATCAAAACGGTTGTGACGGTTCATAAACTGCATTGACAACGATTGATAGAGGGCTATTCACATTGTCTACATGCTCGTCAGTTTGTCCGTGCCTGTTTGTCTGTTTCTATCTGTTTGTCAATGTTTATTTCTCTCTGATTATCTTTGTCTATTTTTGTAATCTGTGAGAAAAGCTAAAACTCTTTGTAGCTTTTGCCCATAAAGGTAAGGTTGTCCTTCGTGAATTGAGTCATTCGTTGAGCAAGGCGTACACTGGTTTGTAGTTTTTGGAGTGCTAAAAATAGTAATTGAATCCACTTATTTTTCTGGTTCAATCTGTTTTGTTGTCTTTTTATGTTTTTATTCTTCAAACACAGATTTTCTGATGCTTTAAAACCCACATGGTGCAAAATTGCTAAAATTGGTTCACGCTTTGTGATGCTGCAGTAGAATGCAAGTAAATAATCCCAAGAAAGGAGAAAAAAGCATCAAGAATAGTGATGTCGCGAACCCGAAATTTTCGGTTCGCGAACGGCGAACGCGAACTTCCGCAAATGTTCGCGAACCGGCGAACCGCCCGAAACGCCATTGGCTTCAATGGGGAGGCGAATTTTAAAACACACAGGGACTCTTTCTGGCCACAATAGGGATGGAAAAGTTGTTTCAAGGGGACTAACACCTGGACTGTGGCATGCCGGAGGGGGATCCATGGCAAAACTCCCATGGAAAATTACACAGTTGATACAGAGTCTGGTTTTAATCCATAAAGGGCAGAAATCACCTAACATTCCTAAATCACAATGAATATGGATTGACACCTGACATATGACATTGACACCTTGACATATGGATTGACACCTGTCCTCAGGAGCCCATGATGCACACGGACACAGAGCAGAATGAGACTGGTCCCCTACATAGGGTCACTTGGCAGATATGGATTGACACCTGTCCTAAGGATCCCTGATACACACCGACACAGAGCAGAATAGGGACTGGTCCCCCTACATCGGGTCACTTGGCAGATATGGATTGACACCTTGTTACAAACTGCTATTTGTAACGGGCCCTTTAAATGGCAAATTGCCCTGCTTCCCTGGGTTGTGGAGAAGCCTATTTGCCAGCCTCCTCCCGCATGACTATGGCCCCTGGGAGATTGTGAAAATGTATGCACTTTTATTTGGTGTGTATGGCCCTTTAAGACTGTCGGTGGGCATATTGGGGCTTATGGACTCTTTATGTGACTGGTGCTGGCCCTTTAAACACCTTTTTGGGACATCAGGAAGATTGGGACACTGCCCCTTTAAGGCCGTGTCCCCAGACTTGTTGGGGACACTGCCCCTTTAAGACGGTGTCCCCTGTGTCCCCAAACCTGGTGCAAACCCTTTGTGCCTGCCTGGCTATTTCCCACTTGGTTCAGTAAATGGG